AAGGTTGAACAACTGGATGGATCAGACTATTTACTGAAATGAGAATAAGAAGGAGGAAATTTAAGGTGGACAAATCAAGAGTTATGTTTTTTGCAGGTTAACTTCTGACACAATTACACTTTCAAATAGAGGCATCAAGTGGACAAATTGGATATGCAGTCTGTAGTTCAGGGAGGAAGCTGGGATTATACATATAAATTTGGGAGGGAGTGGTTACTGTGGAATGCTTCGTAGATTTCAAGAAAGGAGTGAGGTCCATTGGATCTGACAACTTAAGAGCTCTTTATTGACTCCTGATGTGAACAGTTAAAGTGGAATCGAGGATGAAAGCCAGATTGGGGTAGGTTCAGGAATAAATATTTCCACTCCCTACTCTCCAAAATCATAAACAAGGAGAATAAGAAATAGAATCACAGCATCTCCATTTTTATCTCCAGTCCTGACCTCTTCCTAAGCTTCATACTCATTTTGCCAGCTCCCTACTGAACATTTCTACCTAGATATCCAAACCTAACATCTCCAAAATTGAATTGTTATTTTCCTCCCATTAGACTTGCCTGTCCTTTTCCCTTCCGTTTCTTCCATATCATCTCTTTTCCTCTGGTTGCTCCTTATAGTGGCATACAAGGCCTGTTGTTATCTGGTTTATGTTACCTCTCTGATTCTGCCTCCTACATTATCCTGCTCTCTCACTGTGTTCCATCACACTGATCTCCTTGTTCCTCAGGCCAACCATCTTCCCACTGTAGAGCATTTATAATTACTGCTCCCTCTGCCTGGAGAACTTTACCCAGCTATTCACATGGCTGATTCTCCCTCTCTTCACTCAGGCCTTCGTTCGTATATCACCGTCAAAGAGGCCTTCAAAGAGTTTTACTTTATGGAAATTTATATTGAGAGGAACTTCAATGTGTTTCAAAGTATGGAAAGGCCTCAGATGTTCAGGGAAAACCATAAGTGAGGGTAATAATAACGCCAGAAAAAAAAATTTACAGCTAAGGAAATGTAATTATAGTAGGTATTAATAGTTTGTCTCAGCAGTAATATTTATATCATTTCTAATAAAGATTGAGATATATTTTGGAAGGATATGGAAAGAGGAAGAGGGACTGTAAATAAACTATATCACCTTAAATCAATGAAAAATAATGCTAAAATCTGACTCACAAGACAAGTCCCCTAGATTCAATTACCAATGTGTAGCAGTATAGAGGGCAGAACAATATGCTAAATCAGAGATGTGGTTAGCAAAACATAGACTGGGAAATTAGTGTCAAACAGCCTGGTCTCTTCAACAAATAGATTTCAAAAGATTGAGTAGGGGAAGAGGTTGAGGAGAAGAGTAGGATTTTGGGCTTATGTGCCCATTTGTTTGTGGTCCTTAGTTTTAAACCCAGATGTATTGTTTTTCTTGGCAATAATCAGCTATTTTGCTTCAAGAGCAGAGAATGCAGAAAGTTTAGGTCAGCCAAGGTTAAGATTTAGCCAGGTGAGATCTGGAGGGAGATGGGTGTAGGGGAGTTACAGGCATTGCAAGAGTAGTTATGATGGACCATGAATATATTCCAACATATGTGGACTCAGGCAGTTGTCTTCAAACTTGGCACTCATATGGTATATGAAGACACCCTGTTGAGAGAACCTGAACTCAAATATACCATAGAATGGAACAAGAATTATTGTTACAGTTTCCATTGCTCCATATACTAATTTCCGTACATAAGTATTGCCTATTCTTTGCCCAAACACTGTCAAAAAATGCATTGCTCCTGAAGAAGAGTCCTGGGAAAGGAAATTCTTTTAGTGAGTTCATAAGCAAACCATTCATTGAATTTATAGAAATTAAAGTGACCAAATAAACCCTTGTAAAAGTTGGACTCTTCTAAAAGATCAGAACACCTAATATTCATAAATGAATTCATGATTCAGTAGACCAAATGCTTTTACTACACGATAAAATTTGGGTAAATTTTGCTTGAATCTACCAGAACAAGATCAAAGGGTGAAATGTATGGCATATAAATTGGAATTTAAGTTTCAAAATGGCTTCTCTCTTTGTACTCCCATACAACATAGATGGAAGTATAAAACTAAGCAGTTAGCATCTTAGAATGAAACTGAAGTAAAAATTTAATGACCTAAAATAACATTGTGTGTTCAAATCATGCGGTTTTTTTTTTTCTTTTTTTATCTTTAGGTATTATGACTCTGTCTCCCTTTGATCAAATGAAGACTGCTTCCAATATAGGTGGATTTAATGCGGCAATTAAAAACAGTCCACCTGCCATGTCTCAGTATATCACTGTAGGGTCCAATCCATTTACTGGCTTCTTCTATGCTTTAGAGGTATGAGTTTCATCACTGATCATGAGCAAGGCCACTATTGGTTTTTCAACTTGTCTACAAATTGGATATAGTAACTGAGCCTTAGAAAGATTAAGCAGCTTGCATTTTTAAGTTTCAATTTAAGCTAAAATTAATCTCCACTAGCTTTTTTCTAAATTCTTTAGATCAAGTGAAAAGGTACTAAAGTCAAAGTAAAACAAACAATCTTCTTTTGTTTCTGAAGCCCTGAGCTCTTTGATGGCTGAGTAATCTTCAATATGGCTGCAATAGTCAGAAGTTCAGGGTTGTTAATGATGTCAGCCCACTAGGGATTTGAGTAAATGAGGAATTGTGAAGACAGAACAAGCTACCAACTTTAGTTGATGTAAGTGGTGAAAATTGCTTCCTAAAATAAGGAAAAGTTAGGTGTTAAATTTAGCAGTTCTTATCTCTCACTTATAATAAAAGGCAGCCTTCTCAGAATTGTCCAAACTATCTTTTTACTTTTATAAA